GACCCTGACAATAACTTGACTCCAATGCTAAACTCAGAACTCAAAAGCCCAAACCCTAAGCCCCAGATGCTTATCAAACCCTAGAGCACCTTCACAAAAATCCAACGAAATCCTGAAAGACCGTCCAACTTCAGCAATAGAACTCTCATGAACTCCAGAGGCCGCAGAACCCGTCGTACATTCCGAAATAGCCGTCCAGCATCTTCCAAATCAGAGGCCACAGAACCCTTATGAAATCACGGTAAAGCCTTCGGTATCCCACAGGTAAAGAACCTGGAACCGCACCGCACGGCTGGGATGCGCCACTCGCAAAGCCTCCTGAGCCACATGGAGCGGCAGCAGGTGGTGCAGGATCACTCGAAGAATTTTGAGAACGGATTCAATATTCGGATCCCTACTATGATCCTTGTAAAGGGAGGGCGGCTATTCATGTTTTGCCATTATAGGCATGCTTGGGAAGCTGTAGGCAATGGTAGTGTTCCTTTTCTACTATTTTATCGGCTATCATGATCACTCCTAGTTTTCTTGTCCTTCTTGTTCTGCCATCAGCTTCCGGATGCTCACAGCAACCGGTCCTAGAACTTCGACTGGCTAGAAACACAGAGGCCGTGAGCTTTAGCTTGGCTGGTGGGATTTGGACTATGAAGGGGATGAAGGGCTCAGGGTTTGCAGGGGATGGATTTCTTGGATTTCTTGTGCTGGAATCCCCTACTCCCTTGTTGAAATCTACAGGAGGCCACAAAGAATCTGAGCAGGCCGTTTCAGTGGAAGTGCCCAAGAGCTCCAGCTACTCCTTGTTGAGAGCCGGGGTGTTCAGGACTCAACATCCGCGACGCTGCTGGGACGTTTCAAGAACGTGCACTTTGGCGTGCTGCAGCAGCAGGAAGGAGAAAGAATGTTTGGGCACATGATTGTGGGTTACTGCACGGGCCCAAATAACTCTCCAGCTCTGTATGCCGGTTCTTCGATTATCTGGTTCTTCGATTATCTGCACTGCATGACTCCATAACTATCAGTGGTATCCATTGGGAGTTTTTTCAAATGTTTACACCATGAGATGCCCATCACCATATCGATCCTGTGGAAAGCACACGGAGCCCCAAAGCCCCAAATCTAGACCCCCGACCCTTCCCCACCCTCAAATTCTTGTAGGCCCCAAACCGTTGCGGATCCCTTTCAGGATCCCTTTTACAGAAACATAGGGACCTCCAAAGGCCTCAAACCCTAGGCCCTAGACCGTCCTAAGGTCTAGGGTTTAGGGTTTAGGGTTTAGGTCGACCTCCACAAGAAGTTCCTGGTGGGTGTCGGCCTACCACTTTTCCACCAGCCGCACGGACCATCAAAGTCCTAAGTTCAGCGTTGAGGGCTTTGGCCTAAACCATCAAAAAAAACCTTCAAAACCCTAAACCCTAAACCCACAGCCCGAAACCCCAATCGGCCCTTACGATGTAAGGCTTTGTCTGGCCTTGATTTCTAGCCCCTGCCTCGGTCGTTTAGGGTTTGGGGTGTAGGAAGCCTTTCCATTTAACCAAGCTAGAGGCACATTTATATACATCATGCCCTAAACCAGACCGAAACCCTAAACCCTAAACCCTAAGCCAAGGGTACGTGGCAGGGGAAAGCCCTAAACCCTAAACCCTAAACCCTAAGCCTTTACGCTACAGTTGCCTTCCGCCCCGAGGCCTCAAAGCCTAGCTGCCACACGGGTTTAGGTATGGTTTGGGGGTTTAGGGATCGGCTCTTTCTGAGATCGGTGCAGAAAAACGAGGAACAGACGGGTTTTGAGCTTTCGGCTTTCGGGTTTTGGGAGGCATCACGCAAGTCCCAGAATCCAGGGCTCCAAAGCTGAAACAGCGGCGAAAAAAACCCCGAGGTGGCACCTGTTCTTGATTCTGTACAGCCTGATCATGTGTGCCGGGCTGCTAGTCGAGGTGAAGTGCTCAGGGCTTAGGTTTGAGGGTTTTGAGGATAGGGTGCGGATTCAGCGCCTGGTCGGTGCAAGCTCTCTAAGGGGAAAGGCAATGTGCAGAGGGAGGCGGGCACAGAAGCAGAGCGACCGACTGAACCCTCGCCTCGTGTAGCATGACTATAGGGGGCCTTGCAAGTGCAAGGTCCGATCTTCATGGGATCGCGACACCTACTCCCAAAGCGATTTCCCCTCACAGTTTGCTTTCACATATGAACAAAACAACAAATCGAGTATACGACACCCCCGCAGTGCCCCGCGCTTTCTCGGACCCTTAATTAGCACCGATGCTCTGAAAGCTTGTATCCTTGATTTAAGACCCCTGGTTAAAGCAAGCACCTTACCTTAGAAGGGCTTAATTCCTATCCTAATATGAGGAGCCTTGAAAGAAAGGGGGTTGCTGAATCAGTGGTTTACTTTAAGCCTGAGCCTAGAACGGAAGGTTTCCTTGAACCACGAGCAAACTGCCCCTTCCCCACATTTCGGGTCGAAGGCTCTACTAGTAGGGCTTTGAGTTTTGGGTGTGGGGGCTTTTTGTTCATAACGGTCTAGGATTTAGGGTCTAGGGTTCAGGGTTGGTTAGCCGAGTTTAGGTTTTGTTTGCTTCGGGGTTGATTGCAGCAAGGACTGCGTGGATCTACCAGGGATCAACGCTCAGCGGGCAGCTGATGCGCACCGGATTAGACCATGTGAGCCACATCAGCGAGAGTGAGGAGAATGTCTCCTGGCCGAAACGTTGCCATTACCATGTTGGAGCTAGTATAAAGTAATGTTGGAGCTAGTATCTAGTAACCTAGTAACTGTAGTATTGACAGCAGAATCACATCGCATGAGTCACAATCGAAGTAAGGATGGTATTGCTAGGCATGTTGTTTCAAGGGCAAACTTCGCTGGTTGCGATGTGCGGGCAGGCTTTCAGATCTCATAGGGGGTTTCTGAGAAGTAGGGGCCCCTTATACTTCAGGTCCCTTCATGTTGTGGCTCTTACTATTGAGGGCCCGTACTGTAGTCGTGACTTTTTGAACCCGGTCCCCGCCGCTGCGACAGGCGACGAGTAAGGAACGAGTAAGGAACCAATCTTTAAAACACATTCTGGCCATTTCCCGAAATTGTGATTAGGTGCGCGTGCTTAATTGGCAAAGATCCTGCTTGTTTCGCTCTCTCTTTTTCTGTCTCTCTCTGAATCTGTCTCTCTCTTGCTCTGTCACTTTCTTTCTCTCTCTCTCTCTCTCTCTCTCTCTCTGAATCCGTCTGTCTCTCTCTCTCTCTCTCTCTCTTGCTCTGTCTCTCTCTCTCTCTATATGTATGTGTATATATACACACATATATATATATATGTATGAATAGATATAGGCATACATGCGCATACGCATGAGGTCGCGTCCCTGATTTTGTGCACCTTCCACTTTGTGACTAAAGGAGCCTGCATCGCTAGCACGAGCAGTAAAGTCTGACATAGATCACCCTTCCCACCATCTAGAAGCCCGCGCTCTACCACGTGAAGACGTCGTTGAAGATCCCCAGGCGTCGCAGCCTAACCACTCTGAAGACCCCCAGACCCCAAACCCAAGCCTTCCACACCTTCAGCACGAGCCCTTCCAATGCTAGCCGGTTTGGGGTTTGGGGTTTAGGGACCCAAAACCCACACCCGAAGCCCGAAGCCCTGAGCCCTAAACCCCCGAGCCTTGAACTCTAAATCCTAAAACCCTGAAGCCCTAAGCCCTGAACCTGCAGTCTTTCACTGCACCGGGCTTTTTCCGAGGCCATGGCGCTTTGTGGCTTGCCTCTTGCTCGCAAGAAGAACTTTCTGGCACTACGGCTTCAGAACTCTATCGCAAAGCTGAAAGCAGGGTGTTTTTTTGGTCCAGGTCCACCCAAGTAGTGGTGGTAGTAGTAGTAGTAGTAAAGCCACCGCCGCAGCCCATCAGTACGACTAAAATAACGATATCAGAGATGAAAATGGTGCAGTCATGAGTACGGTGTCGTGGGCCAAGCTATGCAGTGAGAGCAGCAGTCGAGTCTCTTGTAAAACAACTGAAACCGGTGGTTGTGGTTGTATCGTGATAGGAGCAGCGAAGAGCGGTAGACTTCTGCGCCCAGGAACGCGCAGCAGAACCATCTAGGTTGGGCGACACAGGACTCCGGGTTTTGAGGGTTGCAGGATGTTGCGGGGCTTTGGCATGGAGCTTTCAGGTTTCGCTTTGCTTCAAGCCGTCTGAGTCTGTGCTTCTCTGTTGGCTTGTGCACACCACAACTTGTGTGTTCTGGTCACCTGCGATCCCCATTCTTTCGCTTCGCCCATGCGCAGCAAGTGCTACAAGGGTGTTGAACTTGGCCCACCTCTCCTTTCGTGGCGTGTGGGTGTGATTTTTCCGCTGATCCAGTATACACAGAACGTTGTCGCCGCTGCTGTTCTGGGTAAGCAGCTGCGAGCTTGTCCCCGCAAGAATCACTAATGTGCCTTGCGGTGAGAGGGTCTGTGGGGAAGTCGTTGGCCATGCAAACAGCATCTGGAGATCAAGCTGTTTTGCATTTAGGGGTTTGCTGCTGGCTGCTCAGTTGTAGGGACATCCTGGAGTTCCAAAAGAATCCATCCTGCGGCTGCCACGCTGGATCGACCCACTGCGTTGTAGGGCCCAGGGGACTGCATCAGTAGGTCAAAAGAGGGGTTTTGTAAAGTAGCCGTCGAGGGTGCTTGTAACCCCAGCCATGAAATACTTGCTTAGCCTTGACTACCGTTCCCATACACTGTAGACTCAATCGTTGGTGGAGGGCAAGTTTGCTCTTCTAGCTCTACCCCTGCAGTTTCTTATTAACCGCAAGCCACGGCTCAAGCTGGCTCTCGCGGCAGCGCGACGTGGGTGCCCTTCTTTTTCCAGTGAAAAGCGACATGCCCCAGATCTTGGTCGGTCTATGCCTCGCAGCCTTTGCGCTGCCATCTGCCTGTGATGAAGTTGCGCTGAGCGCAGACGATCAGTGCAATGAGGGAGAATGCGCTCTCAGTGCACTGCAGTCGAAAGCTCAGGTTCGTACCATGACGCCAACTTTGCCGGCTGCAAGTGAGCAGGCTACAGATGAGGGGATGTATCCGCCAGCTCCAGCCAACGTCTATTCCGTGAACAAGACCGCCCTACCTTGGAAGGATGGTTCGTTGAACTCCCCCAGTGGTGCCCCACTCTTCACCTTCTACATGTACCGTGCAGTGTCAGACGAAGTCTACCCGCCTTTGAACACCAACGTTGCCAGCTTGCCGGGCGTCCTGTGGTATCTCCATCATGAGGTCGTCATCCAAGCACCCCGAAAGTTTCAAATCTCGCGCATCCTGCGCTACAAAGTGCAGATGCGCGCAACCGCACCGCTTCTTCGGCTTGGAATGCACTTTGGCGTGCGGCTGGCCTACGACAAGGGGCAAGCCACAGGCCCATTTGTGTGTGGGCGCACCAACATCACCAGCAAGGACGGAACCACAGCAGGGTACAAGCCAAAGTTCTGTGGTGATGCTGCTGCATTTGCGGATACGTACCTCGAAGATATCAAGCCTTACAAGAACGAGTACGAGTATGCCGCCTATGGGTACAACGTCGGCTGCAACAATCTTGGCGATTACCCCTTCCCCATGCACCCGGTGTACTACCCGAACGCGATCTGGTATACTATGCCGGGCCCTTGTCCGAACAATCTCTACTACAACAAGGACAACTCCTGTCAGGCCAGCCAGCCAGGAGGCTACTGCCCAGGTGGGGGAGTTCTTGAAGTTGGGGTCCTTTTCAGGCTCCTTTTGATGAGGGTGCCGCCTTGTTTTTGGTTTCTCAAAAAGGGACCCTGATTTAGAGAACTACCCATGTAGAACCCTTATAGAAACCTGATAGAAACCGATAGAACCCCTGATAGACATATAGATCCCTTTGAAGGAGCCCTGCTTTAGAGAACTCGCCAGGTGTGGAGCCGAACGGGAACGGCACGTGTACCTGGAACTACGAGGAAGCCGGGGAGATCAGTCTCGATGAGTTGGTGGGCATCAAGGACTCCCTGGTTCGTAGAGTAGGGAATGGGGGAATGGATCCTATGATAGTCCCTTAAGGCTTAAGGTCCCCTATAGGAGTCCCAATAACCCATTCCCAAATTCCTTACTAAGAGCCAGTCAGAGGACTATGACTCTTGGAAGCATGGCCACCGCGAGTATGACCCGGAAACCGACGAGGGTGTGAAGTTCAGCTGGTGGAATGGGATTAACAGCACCTCTGCCAACGAGGAGCGTGTGAAACAGGCTTCCGAGCTTTTTGACAAGAAGTACCCATCCATGCCGACGGTTGCTGAGCTGACCAACCCTCCGTGCGACTTTGACTTCGGCTACTTCTACAAGGAGTGGTACCGAAAGGACGGCTACAGCGGACCCTGCGGACCCCCCAATGCAAAATGCAAGGGTGGAATTGGCTGGATTCGCCACGACGGCCTCAAGCAGCATCCGAAGTGGTACGTTCCCCTCACCACTTCTGCCAGCGATGATGACATCCAGCGCTTGCTGTACCAGCTAGGAAAGAACGAGTGCTTGCGTCCGTGTGAAAAAGGTGAGACGCCTACCGCGTCTACACCCAGCACGAAAGCTTCATGAGACCTTTCTTCTGGAGCATCGCCTAGAGGGTTTGACTTGTGAGAGTGGAGGCCACCTAAAGAAACCTACAGCCTTCTTGAAGCAGCGAGGCATGACTTGGTGAAGAGATTAATACTTACAGTGAGGATATTGCTATTCAGAGGAATAGGCAGTACTGTAATCTTCTCATTGATAGTAAAAGAGACTGTGGGAAAGAGCTTCGTGTTTTTGTTTCCGAAATCGCCAAGTCTCGTCCCGCAAGTCGAAGGGATCCGGACACGATTCCTGGGGTGAGCTCTACGGCTTCGTATTCGGCCCGGAAATCAACAGTGAGTCGGAGTTCCTTCGACATGTCAGTCGATCTTGCTTCGTAGTACCTCATCTGGCTGATCCCAGTGTGAGGAGTTTAAACATGCAGCCTCCAAATCGCTTTGTGTCTGACGATGAAAAAGGGCCGCAGACGGGCAGGGCCTGGATAACTGCATGATACTGCATGTATGGAAGGCAGGTGTTCAACTCTTCTAGGGTGGACCAGGGTGGACAACAGCACCAAGAACAACTGCTACTCCTCCTCCTCCTGCTCCTGCACCACGTGGTTCCTGGTACAGCCACTCCTACGACTACTGCTGATAATATTGCTTTTCCACAAGTGCACGAGCTCCTCGCCACCATGAACCAGTTGCGGCTGCTAGTCCTACTGCAGCCTCTGCTGCTGCTGCTGCTGTTGCTGCCGCCGCGGCTGCCGCTGCCGCCGCGGCTGCTGCTGCTGCTGCTGCTGCTGCTGCTGCTATTACCAGCACCACCACCACCACCACGAAGTTCCACCACTAAGTACCATCACTACGCACCACCACAAAGTACCACCATTAAGTACCACCATTAAGAAGCAGAAGCAACAGCAGCAGCAACAGCCGCAGCCACAGCGGCAACCACAGCAGCAGCAGCAGCAGCAGCAGCTTGAGGAGTAGTGGCAGTTTTAGTGGTCGTCGCCGCAGTCGTAGTAGTCGCAGTACTTAGTAGTCGTAGTGGTGATGTCATGGTGATAGTAATAGGCTGGTAGGACCAGCCCTCGGAGGACTTCGGCCGCCGCGCGGCTTTTGGTTACTTTATCCTGTGGCTGCTAGGCCAGGCGTGGGGGCGATTGCGGGTGCGCGACGGTTTTAGGGCTTGAGCGACTGGAGCCCTTGCTCTTCGTGAAGTTGGGAGCCTTTTCGTTTACAGTTCGGAAGGCTATTCCCATTGACCCTCAGTCGATTTTATCTGTACTCAGCAGCCTGCATTAGCTTTTGACAAGATGCGGCAAGGTTCTTCGGTCCTGGGGACTTCGGTTGAATCAGAAGCCTCATAGGCACTGAGCACTCAACAAGTACTCAACAGATCTTTTGAGCTTTCTCTCGTAGAGGTGTCCTGGCAGCGTCCACCGCATGTGGTTCACTGGTACAGTCAGGTTTTTCTAGACAAGCCTATGTCGATTCAGCCAACCGTTCCGGTTGCCTAGCTGTGGCGCGAGTGGCACGCGTGGGCGAGTGG